AAGAGGCTGTGGACATTCCACGTGTCCTTAAGCATCTTGATGCTTATCAGAACACGGCCTAGAGCTCTGTTTACAATATTCATTTCATTTAGTACTAGTGCTTTCCAGTTCTTGATCATTATAGCTCCAATTCAGGTTATCTATCTCAGAAATGTTCTAAGAAGAGAATCCATGCTAGCTGCTCTACTTGTTGGCATAAATTATTTCAAAATTTCAGTCCAGATCCTTGCATCAGTTTTTCCTGAAATGTGTATGGGGAAATTATTGAATCTGTAACAGCCCTATTTATACATGCTATTATTAAAACAATGTTCTTTTTGCTGGCATTCTTAGCAGAGAGGCAAAGAGTTTATTGAAAATGAAGGGGGCGAACAACAGTCCTAAGGAGTCACAGGGCAAGGACTGTATCACCTAGGCACTACTGGCATGAAAGTGGCAGTGCCTTTTATGTTTACATTCTATTAATACTGATTTCTTTTTATAGCACCGCCTCCTCCCTGCTTCTGCACCACTGTATAATGCATTTACAATTTTTCAACAAAAACATATGTTTTCTTATTTTTCTGTTTCTGATAAACTACTCTCTACTTGCTGCTTTTCTGTACGTGTGCTGGGTTTGGATCATTGGAATATGCACATAGGCAGTAAGATTACAAGGTTTTGAGGGGACATGGAGTTTTACACATGCATTGAGTTCTGCTAGTAACTCGAAAATTCTCTGTGGCTCCTCAGAAAGTCAAGTAGTGAATAAAGAGGACACATGGCATCTTATTTGCAGAAAGCTAGACTAAAGGCATATGGAGATAATAGAGCAGGTTAGCGACCATTTAAGCTCTTGTGCCACATTTGGGCTATTATCCCAAGGTTGTGAAGTTACTGGGATTTTACATGCAGCTTGTTATAGATACCAGCACTACATTATGTAGAATATGTTAAAGGAAGAAGGTCAAGATTTAGAGGCCATTAAAAGCTGTTAAGAGCACTCTCAGTATCATGGACAAAAATGTGAGTATTGTGTAATGTAAGTGAAAATAATTGGCTAGACCAACACACTGAGCACTAACTACAGAACACAGACCTTCTAAGCCTCTGAAAACAAAACAAGACTATTACAGATAAATGGTACAAAGCATATTTTGACTCTTACCACTGAACTACTGTTACCAACTATGTTAAAACAGCAGAAGTTTGATCTTAACTTGAGGTGCAGCTGAAATTGAGTTCTAGGCTGACACTAACACAAGCCGCTTATCTGCGCTAAGACTGCATGGATCTTTACACATTTAACCACACTTTTTGAGAACAGATCTCTTTCAGTACTACAGACACATACTTTATGGCTGATCATCCTTAGAATTCCCGACTAATTCTGAGGACCTGTGTGGTCCTACAAAAATCACAATTTACAATCAAAATTCCAAACTGATAGCCAGACATCGAAGAATGATGCGTTTTGACAATAATCAGGAAATACTATGAAGCTCTGACTCAGTGACAACTTTCTGTAGGTCTTTCCTATCACATTTTACAACCCTAAGATATTAGAAGTAATTATTCATCTCATCAGCTGGTGGTATTAACTCATCAGGATCAATTTTCTGCTCAGTGCATTCTGAAGTCTAGCTCTGAAACTCAAAATCACAGCTGAATTGTTGACAGCACAGAATGAAGAGTTCAAGCTGCCACTTGTTTGACACGACCTCCAAAAATTCCCCGTTTCCTTTACTCTTGAGCAAGGATCCCATTGCCACCTGGCTCATGTGGCTGTTTTTCCCTCTCAGGTATGTCTTAACAACTCAGAGCATACACTTCCTTCCTACAGAATCAGAGTCATCCTGAAGGCTAGCTCTTTCTCCAAAAAGCCAAACCAGCAGAAAGGCTAATAATGTCTAAGGCCATGGCTTTGAACTCAGGATCTACAAATAAGACTTTCTAAAAAGCCACAACAAATAACTGAGTGTCAGACTTGCATCGTTTTCCATCTTCATCAGAAATTTCCATGGATCTACAAACTGAAGAGTTTGAAAACCACTGTTTTAGAGCTAGTAGGGTCATTACAACTCTTGCTATCCAGATCACATGCGAGTTCATTGTAGTATTCTAGGGGGGAATCTGAAGCACGTGTCCTCAGCATGAAATGAGTATGCACATACAGGCTGTGCAATCAAGTTCTATGTAGCCCAGACTTTATTTCTGAAGTTTTTCCAACTGCAACAGAAAATCTTGTTTCACTTCCAAGGTGTTTCTTGCACTTGTGTACAGTTCTCCCATGGAAGTGGCTGGGATGGGCTGCACATGGATATAATATTGTTCAGTACAAAGTTTATAGGATATGTATTTCCCTGAATCTGTAAACATCTTGTCATTGCAAGACTATTATGTTTAAAATGAAACAGTGCACAAAGGCCTACAGAAATTTCTTATTCCCTTCTTTATCCTCCTCAAAAGATCACAGGCCACAGGGAATATTTTTGTGGTTAAGTAACAGTAAACAGCAGCTTTCACAAGCAAAAAGCCTAGTTACAGTCAGGCAGAGTATTACGAAAACACTGTAAGATGATTACACTATAAAAGTGTAACCCACTCCAAGTGTAAGCCATTACAAGTGCCCATGAAAGGGAAGAACACTGGAATGAGAGAATGAACACAGCACAAAAACAATGGCTCCAAGTAGGTATAAAAGCATGTTAACTACTCTCCAAATTCAAAATCCTTGTAGCTACAAGTCTTTGAAAAAACCCAAACCAACACAACACAAACTAAGCACCCATCTGAAGTTCTGCTAGAGGCAAATAACCCATAGCCTTATTTACAGGTACACAAGCACCACAATTGCCAAGAGAAGTGACCCACATTATTGAGCACCAGTTTTAGATTTCAGCCAAAGTTCAGCGAGCAAGAGAACAAGTGGCCTCCTAAGGGAACAATTTATGCCCAGCCTGAGACATCTAAAATGTAATTTCAGTAAGCTCTTTAGACTTGCTAGAGTTGAGCCTATATTTTTGTAACCAGGAATTCAGGGATGAAGGGGGTTATGTCAATCACAAGCTTCTCTTTTATGCAAAAATTCTTTTTATCACAAAGATAGAAATGAAATAACAGAAATAGAACTAGACGCTAGGACACTACTTGCATCTCTCCCTCAACTTCTTTCATAAAATAAAGATGGCTAGCTAGGTACTTTTGTTGAACTGAATCAATCTGACCTACATTTTTGTAGAAATTAAGAAAATTCTATTTGGCCTGTCAAGTCTCACTTTAAGAAAAAGCACTTACTTTTGAACAACTGAAGGCAGTTAAAGTAGTTTTTATAACAAATTCTGCAGTAATGTTTGAGTATTTATAAATATCTCGCAGCTGTTTATATTACAGTGAAACTGCCAACATCACCCCAATCTGCCTGAAATAGATTTAGTTCTGAACAAAACTGAAGCCTACTAAGGATTAGGCTGCTTAAGAACTTTTAAAAGGCGTGTTACTTAATGTTTTCCTCACCTTATTGACACAGAATAAAATTCAAAACAGCCATATTCATCTTCCAAGGAAAGATATTAGAATACCACTGTGTCCATCTCAACATCTTTCCCAGTCTGGTATACCAGCTTCAGTGCAGAAACTCTGTCTCACAGAGATCCTTGCATCAATGTACTTTCAGAACTGCTGGGTAAGTGATCCAGTGCTGCAGTGGCAGGTTATGCTATGCGAGCTTCCAGCAAGTGCAGCAGTGCATGTACTCAGGGGAGTCAGAAGCATTCTCCTTCCTGAACCAAGCCTGTAGCTTTCACTCCACACCTCCTTAAAAGTTCCTAATTCACTGCAAAAGCCAGCAGGAAATCCCTCAGTGCAGTCAGCTGTGGGCAGTGTAACTCATGCATCACTAAACCTTCCCCTGTGCCCCCATAGCAAAGGCAAGAGGATGCATGGGCTATTCCTCACCTCCCCAAACACTAGAAGCAAAATGCTTTGGAGCACAATTATCCCCTACTTTCATTTCCTTAGGAGTAACATGAGAAAGTATGTGTCCAGAGAACCTCGTATGATTTTTTTATTAACTGTGTGCAAGAACAGGGAAACTAGAGGAGACAAGGACAGAAAGTACCTGCCAAGAATCTCTCTACTCTCATTTAGTCCTACATGTGTACAGTTACAGTGTTGCTCCAGATGAAGGGGATTTACATGAAGTGTTATTCAGTAAAGGCCAGGTAAAGATTGCATAGCTAAGAATAGAAAGAGGTGTTTTAAGGAAACAAATGTACCATCTAAGGTTTGGGTAACAGCAACTGCAGGACAAGAATGCGAGAAATGTTGGTCTAGAGAATGAAGGACACAACAAGATAACTGAAACACACCCATGTTCAACAGCTGGAAGCAGACTGATAACTCTTGCAGGATATCCAAGTTATTGGGAGGAACATTAAGAAATACACAGACATTAAGACAGGTAAGTACTTTGCTCATTAATACAAGATGGCACAGGGACAAAGATTTTACTGTTTCATGTAAAGAAAAATGGAGAGGCTAATAAAATGTACTACCATTATTTGGAACAGAAGCTTGAATAAAGCGGCAGTTACTAAGCCCACTTTGTCTTTTTGAGCAGAGGAGTCTCAAAGCGTGGATTCTACTGTTTACAGAACACAAAAGCCTAGCAAACAGATGGGGAAAACAATATCCCCACAACCCACTCCAAATCCCCCAAACTCCTGCCACGAGATGGTAACAGAAAAACCCAACCATTAATGCCATTTGAGCCAGAAAAGCAGAGAGGACAGCGTAGGTTATAGCTCTGTTGTATAATTTCTTTGCAGAAGTTGTTTTGGATTGAAGTAGATCCACCTAACCTAGCCACGTCCTTGCACATGTATCATCCAGCATGGTTTTTGACAAGATACATCAACACATATTAAAGAGTCAGCTTGCATTTTCACATAAAAATGCTGAAGCAGCAAGAGTAAAATTGTGAATTATTTTAAAGGTAAACAAACACACAAAACTGATAATTTTTTTTGGTAGTTGAAATCACTTTTATTTGTGAGGAACGTCACCCATGCTGCACAGTTTCAAATAGATCTTACCAAGGAAAGCGGAAGTTTCTCCTCCCCGTGTCCCGCAGTGAACAGGACTGGCACAGAAAAAAAAAAACTCATCACACCTGGGAGGTTTAGCACCAGCATCCAATAAAAAAAGCATTTGATTTCAATTTCAGTTCTTTGGTTGGGGTTTTTTCCCTTTTCAGTTTGATACCAAAAGAAAAATTGAAAAATTCAATACTAGCGAAACAGTGAAATTAAAAAAAAAAACCAAGAAACCCCACAGTTGCTGTTGAAACTGGGGAGGTTGCTCTTTCTGAATCTCGCTCTCTTTTTCTCTCTTCATGCATCTATCTTGCAGGCGTTCCCTGGATCTCAGCTGCTGGTATTTTTTTTTTCTCTTGTAAGTTCTGATGTTTCAAATCTTTGCTTTTGTCACCACTGTTGACAATTTATTGCTTGAGTGTTTCTTTGGTGTTACTTTTGAGTTGTATTTTAGGACACCTGTTGAAGAGCCAAATTTAAAAAAAAAATCCATTTTACTTTAAGTTTCATTTTGCTGTTGAAGAGGTGGGATGTCAGGTGGAGAGGGACTTATCAGAACAGACAGGATAAGCATGACTAGCTGAGAGTATCTTCCCAAGGCAAAACATTACTAACTCATCAGCAGGTGCTATTGATATACAGAGCAGTTAAATCTTCCTGAAAAAAAAATCTGATTGATAAAGCAAAATTTACTTTGTGACAGATAGAAAGGCAGAGGAGAGAAAGAAGACAAAACAGCAAGCAGTTCCTTGGTTTGCCTATACAGCACTCAGAAGTTACCACAAATATCTAGCCATATATATGGGGATGTGGCCAGAGTCCAAGTCCTAGAAGTATACACAATGCTGCTTCAGTTGGAGAACAGGAACTATCTCTGTTGCTTACCTGAGGGATGGTAAAGGTGCCTGGGGAGCCAGACATTACTCAGCACCACTCTGCTCGGTCACTGGAGCAGGATTTTCAGCAGGTGTTTCAGTCACCTTTGTCTGAGACATAATAAACCTTTATTATAGGCAAAGACTAACCTCTACACCCTTCCTCTGTTAAGTGGTAGGGCCAGCACAATCTATGTTTGAATATAATCAAGGCAGGTGAATCCTCAGAAAATATTAAATATAGGAAATACACTAAAGTTTAGTTATTACACAGCAGATTCTGTCAGGGCACCACCTCAAGTGGATACAGAATGGGAAAGTCTTTCCTTGTTAAGGTAAAATCTGCATCTGCAAACAGCTCCCTGAAATCATCTGGATCAAGCAGTTCAGGAAAGGGATCTGGAGCTTTCAAGTCCATCTCTTACAGAGACATCTACATACAGACTGGTGGTTTAAGGAAGCTGGAAAACACAACTGTTTCCTCCACTTCAAAAGTATTTCTTACAGTCCGACACCAATTAATCCAGAAGCAATCCCTGTCCCACTGCTGGTTACATTTAAGATAAGCTACTTGTTCTCAGAGATTCACAAGGAATAACAATGAATACCTTCAGCCATCAGCACTTTGGACTTGGCCAGACTCCTCCAGCACACCAAGATGACACTTGATAAAAACCCCACAGGACAGAAGGTCTTGAACATTCACCCCATCAAACTTGGTCTCCACTGTATTTTGCCAGGCGTGTGCCTACCTCTTTCCCATCTTGAGCTGGAGCATTGGGTGGACGAGGTCGACGCCGGTAGTTGTATGGGCGCCTATACCCACGGCGAAGTGGCTGCTGACTCATAGCATTGGCCTCATGATGGTTCTCTTTGTTTTCAGCCTCTCCAGCCACTGGGGCAGGGCGTGGACGTGAGGGCCCTCTGAAGAGGGGGAGAAATAGGTATGAGGTATGAGAGAAGCCTGAGAAGGTTAAACTACCATAATTTTAGCCCAGCAAAAACCTCTCTAACCAAGGATTATCTTTCACAGCTTTGCTTGCTAGCAAACCATCTTTGTGGAGTTCAGCTGGCATCTAGTTGGAAGAGAAGGGCTTGTTTCATTATGTTAGACAAGCAACCTGGGTGTCTCTTCACTGCTGAAGCTACATCAGCATATTCTGCTGTCTGTCCTATAATAAAGAGGTAGCTAGCCCATTTGAATTGCTAGACAGCAGAAGAAACAAGCCAGCAGTGGCCACGCAGGGTGACTCTGCCAAGTTAGCCTTGGACTAGCTATATACCAGTCCAGCCCTATTTATAATTAACTATGTGATCCCTGGGAATTGCAAGTTCACCTGTAAACCACTCCTGGATCTTCCCTCTTTGCCTTATGTTGCCCCTCTTGACCATATAAGAAAGTGTAGCACGTATCTCAGGCAAGTTGGACCTCGTTAACAATAATATGTTAATGACATGGGGAGATCTCTGGGACTGGTTATTCAAAGAGACAGAGACTTTTGGTTTGGAACTACAATGTATGTTAAAATCTCAAATGTGTGGATACATGCTACAGTTTACAACTTCAAGGGGAACAGCTGAGAGGGAGGTGCTGATCTCCTCTCTGGTAACCAGCAACAGGACATGAAGAAATGAACAAAGCTGCATCAGGGGGAGTTCAGACTGGACATTAGTAAAGTGTCCCTCACAGAGGGTTGTCACTGGAACAGGCTCCCTAGGGAAGCAGTCACGGCACCAATCCTGTCAGAGCTCAAGGCGCATCCAGACAACACACTCAGTCATATGGTTTAGTTTTAGGTAGTCTTGCAAGGATAAAGTCCAACTCCCTGCTCCTTATGGGTGCCTCTCATCTCAAGATACTCAATGATTCTATATGCTATCAACTCCATGTTCCTGAAGTATGCAAGAGCATTTAATCTCATTTCCAGTATAAACAATGTATGTTTAGAAACTGTCAAAACACAGCTCAAAGTCATGACAAAGTCACTGCCTACTATCTAGTTCCTGTTAGCTATCTTAGCTAATCCACAGCTACCCAGTCCCAGAAGCCAATTTAGTTTTTCCAAAGGAATCCAATAGAAAAGCACTAGTGTCGCTGAATTTAGTGCATGTAAACACAAACAATGCTTACCTGTCAACTAAAACAGGAACATTCTGCACTCATATTGGATACAGTAAGCTATCGTACCTCTTACAGGAAAAATTCCTGTTAGCCATGGCAAATTATCCAGCTTGTGATTGACCCACATGACGTGCAAAAGCTCAGATGCCTCATTGTACTTCGTGTGGTGCTATTTCTGACTGCCCAATGCTAACAAAAACTTTCAGGAATAAAATTTATTCAGCTCAGATCCCTACAAGAAGCTGCATCAGTATTATCTAGGCTTCTGGGAAATGGGGTAAGTGGGACAACTTTAACACAAACATTCACAGATAGAAAAAGCTCAAAGTAGAGGTCGAAGGCTTGTGGTTCTAGACCCAGCATCCAGAAGGATCCGTTTTGCATGGAACAGGTAGTCATTACAATGAAGGACAATCTTGTTATTCCTATGAAATGCAGCTTCCTGTTGCTCTTGGCCTGCTATTTACCTCTTGCTGTTTGTTTTTGAACAAACATGCATATGAAGAAAATGGGGATTACATCCATTTCATAGTTCATCTCTAAATTAAATGTTGGAACTTGACCTCTTGAGCTAGTTGATACAAAGACAAGGACAAGATAAAGAGGAGCAAGTGAGCGAGTGGCAGACTAATACAAATCAGCTCATCAAATCAAATCACAGATATGAGAACAGAATCATATAATAGTTTAGGTTGGAAGGGACCTTTTAAGGCCCTCTAGTCCAACCCCCCTGCAATGAGCAGGGACATCTTCAACTAAACCAGGTTGCTCAGAGCCCCATCCAACCTGACCTTGAATGTTTCCAGGGATGGGGCATCTACCACCTCTCTGGGCAGCCTGTGCCAGTGGTTCACCACCTTCATTGTGAAAAAGTTCTTCCTTAGATCTAGTCGCAGTCTACCCTCTTTTAGTTTAAAGCCATTACCCCTTGTCCTATTGCTACAGGCCCCACTAAAAAGTCTGTCCCCATCTTTCTTCTAAGCCCCCCTTGAAGTAGAGGAAGGCTGCAATAAGGTCTCCCCTTTGTTCAGCCTACTCTCCTCCAGGCTGAACAACCCCAACTCTCCCAGCCTGCCCTCACAGGAAGAGTGTTCCATCCCTCTGATCATTTTTGTGTCCCTCCTCTGGACCCTCTCCAACAGGTCCATGTCTTTCCTGTGCTGAGGGCTCCAGAGCTGGACACAGGACTCCAGGTGGGGTCTCACCAGAGTAGAGTAGAGGGACAGAATCACCTCCCACAGCCTGCTGGCCGTGCTGCTTCAGATGCAGCCCAGGATAGGGTTGGCCTTCTGGGCTGCAAGCGCACATTGCCAGCTCATGTCCAGTTTTTCATCCACCAGTACCCCCAAGTCCTTCTCAGCAGGGCTGCTCTTAATCCCTTCATCCCCCAGCCTGTATTGAGACTGGGGGTTGCCTTGACCCACGTGCAGGACCCTGCACTTGGCCTTATTGAACCTCATGAGGTTCACACAGGCCCATGCCTCAAGCTTGCCCAGGTCCCTCTGGATGGCATCCCATTCCTCAGGTGTGTCAACCACACCACTCAGCTTGGCATCACCTGCAAACTTGCTGAGGGTGCACTTAATCCCTCCATGTCATTGACAAAGATATTAAAGAGTACTGGTTCCAGTACAGACCCAAGGGACACCACTCCTCACCAATCTCCATCTGGATATTGAGCCTTGATGTAACCATCCAACCAATTCCTCATCCACCAAACAGTCCACCCATCAAATCCATCTCTCTCCAATTTACAGAGAAGGATGTTGTGGGGGACTGTGTCTCAATACTTTATGAAGAACCAGTGAAAGTAGTCCAGTCTTTCATTAAACTTTCACTCATTCTCCAAGATAAAACAAGTCACAAGAAGCCAAGAATTTGAATGAGCTGTTCCACTGAAAGGAATTAAATTTTAAAAGAGTGAGGCAACATCTCAAAAGGTATGACAGTCAGAGGCTGACTATTTCACACTGATATTTTTAACTGCACCGAATTCCTTAGCTATGGAATTGTTCCCTCAAGAAGCTGGAAGCTGGAGTGGCCATATCAGAACTAAGGCTGGAAAATGAAGAAAACAATCCTACACTAGCCAGTTTAAGGTATGACTAACACAGATGACTCAGCAACTTACTCCACATATCCCACTAGAAAGCATCAGCCTTCATGTGAACTCCAAGGGATCTTTATGAAGAACCTAAGAATAGCCTACTGGGTCTTCAAGTGTCCATTTGTCCCAGTTACATGGGTTCCTGGGAAAAATAAGGACAAGGAAATCTACTTCCCAAATAGCCTCCCAGCCTCCAATTGGTTTCCACACTGGGGATTTCCTAAGCCAGATAGTTTGTCTATTTTAGAGATATCACAATGGTGTTCTCTTCTAGTTATTTGACCAGTCTCCCCAAAGCTCGTGCAAGCTTCTAACACCACCAACATCCCGTGGCGAAAAGCTCCAGCAATCTGCTGTACGCGTAACAACCCGAGTCAGCAATCTGAACACAAGTCAGCAGTGCGCTGCTGCAGCAAAGGCAAATCAGACCCCAGGCTGCATCCACAGAGGAATCACTAGCACAGAGAGAGAAGTGTGAACATCCCACTCCTTATCAGCACTTATCAGGTCACACCTGGAGTACTGTGTCCAGTTCTGGTCCCCACAATTCAAAAAGGTGACAGACAGACTGGATACAGCCAAAGGAGGGCCATGATGATCAAAAGGCTGGAAAAATTAACCTATAAGGAAAGACTGAGGAAGTTAGGTCTTTTCTCACTGGACAAGAGAAGGCTTAGAGCGGGGGGACTCTCAGTATTCCAGTACTTAAAAGGCAACTACAAAGAGGATAGAGGCGCTCTCTTCACAAGGAGCCACAAGGGACAACAGGTACAAGTTGCACCAGGAGAGGTTTCATCTTGATATAAGAAATATTTACAGTGAGAACAATCATTTACTGGAACAACCTCACCAGCAACATGGTAGAGTCCCCATCACTGAAGGTTTTCAAGACGTTATTGGACATATTGCTACATAGTCTCAGCTAGACTGCCTTTCACACCAAAGGTTTGGCCAGATGATTTTTGATGTCCCTTCCACCCTCTGCTGTTCTATGGTTCTATGAACCTCCCTTTGTTTTTCAGCATGTCTCCCACTTCCTGCATTTGAAGAATCCTCAGTGTATTTTTGTCAGAAGAGAAACAAAAATCATTTCATCCATCCTTTCCATGCTACTCAAGATTCTGAGGACCTCTATAATCTATCTTCATTTGTCTTCTCTCCCAGCCTCAGAATCCTCAGTCACTTCCATTCCTCACACATTTTTCCCCTTCAATCATTTTGATGATTTTTATCTTATTATTCTGGAAATTTTCCAATCTCTTTAGCACGCCCTTTCTCAAAAGTTTCTCTAGCAAGAGTAACTAATACTCCTATTTTGTTACCTTCTCCTTTAGGAGCCCTCAAGGAACCTAAAATTTAAGTCCTGGCTGACAGCAATACCCTCCACTCGGGCAGGATACTAGAAGGTAACACTTATGCTGCCATATAACCTAATGGCCTGTAAGAGATAGGACACATCTTCAATTCTTCCTGAACAGCAGCCTTTCCTCTGTACCTACAAGTAGCACCAGCACATAAAAGCAAGCCTGAGTGATGCACAGGACTGAGCTGGATGCACACAACCTACTAATCTAGAGCTAAACTGTGAACTACTCTCTGCAGTCCACAAGAAAAGTTATAAAGCACACCCTGTCCCTGCAGATGGGGGACCTAGCTGTCACAGATCAAGTGGGATTTGGATTCATTACTTGTCAAGGGAAGCGTAGCAGTTCAGCTGGGAAGACACAAGCTTTCCAACTCACTTCAATGTGTTGCTCAATTGTAAGAAGTAACAGGATACAAAGAATTCTTTGCCCTTTCTTAACCTATTCCTAGCTCTGAGCAATATATAAGCACATTAAACAATTTCTACAGTTGTTTCCTTACTCCTGTGGTGCACCTTTCTCCCAGTAATTAAAATGCTTCTCACTGTTCCTGCCATGTGTATGCATATTAATGCCAGGGAATACAGCTTCCTGCTTCTAATGAAGCCTGTATAGATCACAAAAGCATGCACATGTAAGGATGAGCAAAAGAAACAGCACAAACCTGCGATAGCGGGGACGATAGGTAGGATTCCTATGGACTTGTTGATGAAGTTGTCCTCCTTCTGTGACCCCATCCTTGATTTCTCCCTCACCACCCTACAACCAAAAGAAAACAGAAGACTGGGTCAAAGGTGACCTGTTACCTTATTTCATGGGCAGTGTATTAATTATAAAGCAATAGTCTAAACACAAGTTCAAAACCAGTACATCAGTACAGAAACACCAGCATACCAGGTAAAAAAGAAGTAGATACTCAGAAGGGTTTAATTTGGGTAAAGATAAGAGTAGGACAGAACAAGAGCCAACAGGGCTGCCCTTGTTCCTCACAGTAACAGACCAAGAAGCTACCTGATGATGCCTCCTCCCTGTCTTGTCAAGAAAGGCAGAGAACCTGAACCGGTTTCTCCAATGCATATGAAACTCCATTTCACAGGACATTGCATTATAAGGGGTAAATGTGTTAATGGAAAAGGCAGCTGTTGATCAGGATACTTCTCGATTTGGAAAGCTGAAAGACATCATCCTGAAACTTGCAAGAGACCACTTTCTGGCCTCATTGTACACAAAGCTCCATTCCACAGAGAACTTCCACAAAAACATCAAGAAACTTAAAGATAGAAAAACTGCATTTGTATCATGTCAAATACTCTTCTACACACTCAACATTTTCAACCTTTCAGAGATGCAGTGGTTATCTTTCCCCTTTAGCTGTTAACTGATAAAGCTGTATTTCAGTTTGGGCTTTTTTTCTTTCCTTCTAGTTTGTTGTTTGTTTTCTGAATGCCAGCCACCAGTAACATCTGTCTTATAAAAAGTTACATTATTTACCATTTCCATTACACTATTCTTCCCTTTAAAAGAAGGAATTTAACAAGATATGTTTACAGATCTTCTGGATCTGATAGAGCAGGAAAGAAAAGCTATTGCTTCTTAACAGCCTTCAGTAGTCTACATTAAGTTTGACAGGTCTCCTTCCAGTTCCACACAGCTATTTTAACCACCACCATCATATTTTGCTCTATTTTCAACTGGTGATCTCCGGCAACTGCATGGGCAGTGAACTTTTCCTTAGCTAAGGTAACACTACAATTGGCATTTAAAAAGGCTGGAGTGTTGCAGGTTGTAACAAGAAATCTTGAGGAATTAAATGAACCTCAGTGACCAACCTGGACAGTCTTCTCCTCTCACCACAGTAAAATACCTTCTAGATGCATTAGTTGTTCCAAGTACTCTTTGCAGCTTTCTAAGTTTCCAAAAAGCAGAGAGACATGGCCTAAAGGCAACTGTACCTAGAAATAGCTATACCAGCTATTCTTAACAATGTGACAGGGTCAGCTGCTGAGGTCAGTAGAGAGAAATCAGGATTCAATTTAAAAACCAACAGATAATGCTATTTATGATTGTGATGTTCTCTTATGTATAAGAGTGATCAGAATAACTAAATATCAAAAGAAACTCCCACTGACTAAGTAGATAGTAATAATAGGTAGCATCTGATAGCAGTTGAGAAGTACTTTAGAGACTCAGAACCCAAAAGGAAGTTACACTTCTGGGTTTACGATAGCATTATACTACTTACATCTACTTTGCAATACCAACCTGTCCCATTTGTATAAAGATGCTTTGTACTACGTAACTTTACAGCTTAACTGAAGGGTAGGCAAAAGTGTCTTAGACAGCAAGGTGAGAAGTAGCACTGCCAGTATTGTGTGGGACAACAGTGATTCAGAGGTCTTAGGATCTGCCTTTCATGAAGCAAGGACCTAATGCTGCTCCTGCTCTCACTCTCTTCCTTGTGTGAGGACTGGCAAAGCAGAAATAGAAGAGAGCAGCAAAATGTGAAGGGAAGAGGACACAAAATTAAAAGTCCTGAACATGTTCCAGCATAATCACTATTTCTCTCTTCCAGGATTTCTGAGCAAGCACACATGGAATCAGCACTCAGTTTCAGTGGTGCAAAGCCAGAAATACAGAACCACAAAGGCCTGGTAGGTCTTGTCTGAGGGACAATGTGCCAGAAGCTAACAAAGCATCAACCAACAGAATTGTAGGGAGGACACACAACAATATTTTTCATCAGCCAAAGCTCTCCTATAGCATTTGACAATCAGCATCACATTCACAGATCTTTAAAAGGCAGTATTGAATTTCTACATGTTTTTAATGGCACAGCCTAAGTCCACTCCTCCCTACAGAGGGCTGCACTGGAATCTCAGATAAAAGATTCAGTCTCCTGTAGTGATGGAAAGAATGACTAAACCTGATGAAGAATTACTCAAAAAAACCAAACACAAACTATTTCCTATTCATCTTGAACTGAATGTTGCTATGTCAGTATTTTAAATGGGTTTGGCTTAAACAATCAGTTGAAAACAGAATAGCAAAGCAACTGAATTGCTTAGCCCAAAAGTCTGGATAATTTCCTGCATCTTCTACAGTATCACAAAAACGCAATTAACACATTACATTAGTATCACTGTCAATTGATCTAGGTCTTTTGGCCAGAAATTAAGTATAGCTCCAGAATAAAACAATTATGCTGTCAGAAGTCACTAAAACAGATGCAATTTGACCAGAAAACAGAAGCTGGGCTTTGAGGTCTTGTTTTACTACACTGATAGTAAGTATATTGGATTCATTTATTAGGAAAACTTCATTTTTACTCTTAAAAGCACCACACATGGTCTAGCACACACAATCCTGTTCACTCAATCTCTTCCACAGGAACCTTCCAACTCCATGTAATACCTTTCTAACAAAACATTAGGTCATCCTAAAGGACAAATTAATGAAGCTGGCCTGCTGTACTCCACTCATTTTCCTCTGAAGAAGGCCAAAGTAAGCAGGCAGGCTGTGATTCCCCATGAGGGTCTTGCACAGATTTCTCTCACCCTAAAAAGGTACAAAATTTTACTGCTGGCCCCAAAGAAAAGTTCTGGAAGCATTAAAGGTACCTGCAATGAGCTTTTTACACATCTGCTTCCCATAATGTCTTCATTTGTTCTTACATCTCTTCAGATCACTCTCTAGTTTTTGTATAATACTATTGATATTTTCAGATCTCCTCTCCACAAAAAATTGTCAACCTATAAAACAGCTTGAGAGCTATTTCACTTATTTTCAACTCATTAGTATACACAGTATTATATATGTTATACTATATATACATATGAGTAATGCACACAGTATTTAGATAAGGACATCATCGGTTCTCAAGGTTATTCCATGATTCACTGTCTGTTAGAACTTTCCGATTACAGGTCCACACCATGTTTAGTTAGGACTACAGCCTCTTTTCTGTAGTGGATACAATTAAGAAATTTCCGATATGAACAAGTACTCCTACTTTCCAAAGAACTCTCCATGCAATCCCAAAGCATTTCCACTGGCACTGGTTGAATACCTCAGATTCCTCAAGGTTCCCTTTGCTCTTGAGAAATTCACACAATGTGGTCAAAAACAGACCCAGTAAGCTACACACAGTACAGACACATTTGAGCTAGCATGGCAAACAGATAGCATCTTTAGTTTGCCTAAAACCATGTCAGTGACAAAGGAGAAATCAACTCTTGTTGCACTACAAGGTTGGACTGGAGTTGCTAACAGATATGAATTAAAAGTTCTTGAAACCTAGAAGGCCACCGTGTCAAAAGTAATTTCAAACTTTTTTTTTCCTTCAGTAAATACAGGATTGGTGATGTGGACAGCTGAACTATGGGCAAAACCTTTTACCTCTGCAGCCTAGTATCTTTAAGCATAGCAGGCCTGGGTACACTGAAACCTTTTCCTTCAGGTGTGCAGCAAGTTTCCTGCAGCTGAGTAAATAGCCTTTCAGCAAACACAGCCCAAGAGTGCCATACCATCGGCATCTGAAACTGGTTTCAGAAATATCCTGCAGGACAGTTAGCCAGAAACAATTCCTCAAGCAGAGAGGCACAACCTTTAATGCACCTGTTAATGGGACCACACAGAATAGCATACAAATATTGCTATGGCTCACAGACGTTGCGACCTTTCTTCCCCCTTTACACACATGGGAACAGAAGGGGAAGGAAGAGGCCTTTGTTGAAGGAAAAGGTTATTAGAAAGAAGCATCTTTCTAGAAGCAGTAGACATGCAGTTTCACTGTGAAGAATGTGTTGACTGATGCAAGTGAAAAAATCTCCAAAAGGAAATATCGATAGCTTCAGATGAGGATTCACTACTCTCAATTGATCTATCAAAGCAAGCATACGGGGGATGACAAAAATATCTGATCAAGTTTGAGCAGTTTCACTGATCTACACTAGGACACCTTCAGGGACAGTCCCTGCAAAGACCTCCTTAAAGTGGAGCTTTGACTTGTTCAGGCAGCTAACAGGTAAGTGGGTAAGAAGGCACAGCAGAACTGGTTGCAACCTCAGACAAGCTCAGAACACAAGAAGGGTCCACTGCAACATGCAGAAAGTTGAGCAGGCATAGCAGAACATCAGCTTTGGCTGCACAGTGAACTCCTGACTGAGCTCAAACTTGAAAAGGAAATATCACTTAAGGCTCACATGTACAAGTCTATAAGACTACACAGCACATGTTCAGGAGTGCTGCAAGAACTGGCTAATGTCATTACCTGGCCAGTATGATCTTTGAAAGGTCACAGCAGTCATGGAGTTTACCTCATTACCTGTTAGAGTGGCATGATAAAGGAATGGTACTATAATGTCTTCATCATCCTTGAATGAAAAAGGAATTTACTCTTAATTTTAACAGATGGTACTAAATCCAGATGAGTCGATACATTGATGGGCAGGCCTGACATTCAGAGGATACTCAACAAGCTAAAGAGAAGGACTGACAAACCTCATGAGCAATGGGAAACAATGAACACCCAGGTTAACATCCTTTAGTTAATTTTCATTTGCAAGTTTTGAAGGCTGTAATTCTTCCAGAGTCAATGATCCCAGAGAAAGAGCAGTATGTTTTCCGTTATGAAGTGAGAGATGACTTCATAGGACACCAGGCACCAGTCACACAACAGCCAAGGTCTGGTATCCACACCAAAACAGTCTGGCAATTCAGATATAAGCAAGCCAAAGGAAAACAGTACGATATCACAACTTGTTTCCCTTGTGTACATCTTCAAGTACCACATCTAAATGCATTACAGTGTCACATGCAAACCAGATTTTTAGCTGCATGAGTTTGCATTAGACATCCATGAGAACACACCCCAGCATGAGTACCCTGAGACTGAATGGCCTCATATCCAAGATGGGTCTCACGTTATCATTCTTCAGGCACAAAGAAACAGCTACTTTCCATACTCAGCAGTACACAGTGTTGTCCAAGCCTTAGTATGTCTGCTTATTTAAAAGCTGAAGCATCTCCAAGACAACACCAATATAACCAACTAAAGCATTCACTCCCAATAAAGACAGTTGAGGGAGATTCTAATCTCAGAAGAGCAAAGAATCAATACTGCAATGTAGCTAGTTGATGAGCTAACAGATAAGACTGGAAATATCAAAAACCTGAACAAAACCCAGTATCCTACTACTTTGCCACTTGGCATGTAAGTAGAAGCTACAAACTGTATTGCCACAAAAACAAAGACATACTCAGTAATAAGTATTCATCAGTCACTAGTACCAACTTGTAGCAGCCTCCACGGGACTCAGAACATCCTTCATGTTTTTAAACATGGTGGTGTTCAACAGGATTAAAGAAAAGACCTCGTGATAGCTACTACAAACAGCTAGACTTTAAGGAAGGATTTGACAACACTGAGTTTGCCCCCATGCTGTTGACTGTGTAGAACAAGATGAGAAGAGAGTCATGTTGCCTGGGTACAGACTTCCACCAGGGGTCTGATACTGGATTGTTCACATATTCCTGCAAGTGATCATCAGACTCAGCTAGGAAAGAAACGATGATCAAGCCTGGAGTATGTTCCAGTTTCTTGGGTTGTTCCAGGCACTAATTTAGCACAAGCATGATGTGGATAGGAGTAGTAACCGATAGAAGCACAGCCATATACCTCATACTTATTTGTCCCTCTGCAAAAACTTGCAGGGAAGCGGCTTAGGAAGGCTTGCAGGTGTTATGAAAAGCGGTGTGTAGCTAGCTTAAAGAAAAAAATGCATTATATTTACACTGTACTGCTGTAGGCAGAGGCCTATAAAGGGATGATACATGGAGGTTTCAATTAGTTGGTCATAATACTACCATGTCATGCAAAAGTGATGGACTTTTAAACAAATCTGGTTTTCCAAGTAACCCTTACAAATTATGGTATACTACTTACGGTAATATAAATACTTCCCCTTGCTTCAGTTAAAGGGCATGGTGAACCACTTACGAGTCTCACTCCTTTGTGTTTACTCTTCAAACAGATACCTTAACACCTAAAGAGATGGTTTTTAACACAATTCCAGAAGGACGTGCCAAGGAAGGGCCTATAGGACACCCAGTAATAAGAAATATCAGTATCAGTAACATGCTGGAGGAACCTAGAATATTACTCAAGAACATCTCCCAGCTTAGTTAAGCATTGACAGTTTACTATACACCAGCGCTGAACCTGTAGTTCCCTCTCGTGAGAGAATCAGAAGACTGCTGAGGAGGTAGGATGACCACCACTGAAGAAATTAAACTTACACTTCGAGGAGGTCCACGGCGTCGGCCAAAATAGCCACGTCGATAGCGGCGCCGGTCTGCAGCATAGCGGCTGCCTTCTACAGGAACTCCATCTGGACCAGTGACATTAGCTGCTTCTGCACCCTAAAAGGCCAAAAGAAAGTAAGCCAGGGTGGTGCAAGAGAAGAATAACCAGGTACAGGGAGAAGCAGAAGGGATAAGATGAAACAGGAAAGACGCTTGTTTGCATCAGTTCCAAGCTACAGAGATTCCTTCCTCCCAAGTAGTACAAAAAGTCTGTTATTCAACCCTGTAACACAAGAGTTATGATCACAAGTTAAGACCCTATCAGCCAGACTGAGTTCAGAGGAAAAAGGAGAAGTGATTGATTAAAAAACAAAAAACATCAGAAAACCTCAGAAAACTCAAAATGTTTGAGAAAGTCGAAGTGTAGAGAACTTGACGGTTCTTACAGTTAAGCTACCAGACTCCAAGACAAATTCTTCAAGGCAATGTATCTATCAGTTAATGCTTATTGGGCAGACTGCAAGCTTCAAATGCTCTATCAAGTAGATTACAGATTCTAGAAGCACTAGGATGTAGTTACAGTAGAGTTTTGATATACATCTAGAAAAACTTCTTAATGAAGCCTTTAAAAACCCCATCTTCCACAGAAAAGCTTTATGAATGCCACCCACCCACCCCAGGGATTAACATATTAGACAAAACCACCAGATACACAGATAAGGCTCACTACAGTGATGTTAACTCTGTTGGACCACACCCCTAGATCTCCATAATGTCTCACCTTCTCTCCCTCGACCACATCAAATTCTACAGTCTCTCCATCACCAACACTGCGCAGATATTTCCGTGGGTTGTTTTTCTTTATCGCCGTCTTTAAAGAAAGAAGATACAGAAAGATATATTGGTTTATCTTACACATTCATAGCCCTGTAGATAAGGGAAGGACAGTATTCTTCTGCTACGATCCCAACTCTACATACCAGATCAGTCACCACACAAAGATATTTCAATATTCTTATTCCATAGGCCCTCCAACACTCAGTCATGGTTTACTCCTTTCTCAATACTCATGAGTTCACAAATCAGCTGTTGCTCCAGGATCCCCTCTGTCAAGCCTACTAAATATCCAGATCACTACATATTTCTGTAGGAACAGAGTTCACACACTGTTTGATCTCCTGTAAGCCGTATCAAGTCAGCTCCCGCAGCAAGTGACCCATGCCTTCAGTCATTAGGAAACCTATAGACCATTTACAGAGAACTTAATACCAGGAGCAATTTTGTAGAAGATGGCATTAACTATAAGGTATCATGGCAACTGATAGTAACTAGACAAGAATTACTAGAACACTGGTGTAACATAAACAAACATGTTACCTATACACCATAAGGGAGACTCACAAAAATTAGGCGAGTCCCTAGGGAACACAGGAATAGCACCAGAACAGACAATCTCAGTCATCTTTTCTAGACAGAAATCTCAAAATACTATTAACAATGTGGCTTTGGATCAAAACTGATTGAAAACCTCCTCAGACTCACAGGAACACTCAAGACTCTTGGAGCCATTTTTCAGCCTGTCAGCTACAGGTGCCTTTCAATCCATGGAGTATTTCTGGGATTCCACAGAAGGCAGTTAGCAAGACAAGCCTATCTGGTCATTAAGTAAGAGTTCACAAACTGGAAGAGGCCATGGGAGAAAAAAAAACAACCACAACACCAAGCAAAAAACAACACACACATATTGTACAAGCCAATCTAGGAGCCAGCTTTTTACTGAAGTTCTCTTAGTTCTACTAAGTAGAACTTGGTAGTTCTTCTCTTTAGAGGGACCAATCCACTTAAAGTTTTCTGATAGGGCATCTTTTGTTAGCATGAAGGAGGCAGGTGCAAGTCCAGTTGACAGAAGTATGCATGGAAATACACGGCACAAATCCAGCTTAAGAAATGGGATGCAGGGCAGAAACAGAAGAGACAGTTGTCATATCTGTCTGCAGTTCAAGAAAAACAAACAGAATGAAGATCAGTTGAGTTGTTGCCCATGCATGGCAACTACAGTCATTCAGTCAACAATAGCCCAGAAATATTTCCCACTGAAGGAAAGTTCTAATCAGTTTAAAGTTGAGCTTGACCAGTTTAGGAAAAGTATTTTCATTGTTGCTGAATACAGTCCCCTTTGTGTTTTAGGCAACAAGCAAGTACGTCCTTTTAGCCCTATATCCAGCCACACCTTTCCCTGTACCCTGCAGTGTCCCTGAACAGCTCAAGGAAGAATGCAAGAGTGTACATATTATTGCTACCAAAAACAAAAACAACCCAAGAGTCTTGTTTTGTTGGGTGTTTTTTTTTTTGTCTTTTTTTTTTTTAATACAGGAAGAGAATGAGCTGCTCAAGTGAATTCTTTTGGGAATTACTTTACAAAGCAGAGACTCCCACCATCAGCTGAGACAGCTTTGCTTTCTGTTGACCTATTAGTGTAACTGCCCCATTTCTAAAATCAGATGGAAGTGCTAGCTTTTCGATAAATGCTATATACTAATATCATTATCTTCATTGCAGATTAAGGGTGTAATTCTTTCACCACCACTTGTACTGAGACAAGTAACTCAAACTTTGAAAACTTGTGCTCTGCATATGATGGAGACATCAACAAGCTCTATTTCAAACTCCTTCCACTTCCTTGTAAGTGCAGAGGAAGAAAGGACTACCAGATTTCTTTTCAGCAGGTGTACTGATTAATCAGCTTGATTAATCAAGCTCCTCAAACATCCTCCAAGAATGGTAATGGAAGATAAATTCGATAGGATTCCACATGTTCTGTTCCAGCTTTAGGAGCAGAAACTTCACAAAGCAGATTTGCAATTGAATAACTTGCCAACAGGAGAGAGGCCACACAGCAGGCTGGGGTTTGTTTTATAAAGGCAACCAGAAACAATTTCAAGTAAGTCCTGTAATTCAGAGCAGAAATTATATGGCTTTACTACTTACTTCAGCTGCAGGTAAACATTGCTGAAATAAGCCTCTAAACAAGCTTAAGCTCTAAGCTTGATGAAATACTTTTGCTCTGTATATCCAGAGGGGAGAGAGCACTATTCTCCCTGTTACTGTTCACCAGCATCCTGCAGGCTTCAGCTTTGATTCAAAAGACAGATGTTTTGTGTTAACACAGACAGCACTCAACAATTAAAACAGAGCCTTTCCTTTCCCAAGGGGACACTGATGAACAGACAGCTGTAAGAGTCTTCACAGCTAGTTCAGTATTGTTTGGAAAAGTTCTTTCCATATCCTCATGATATCACATCATGTGCACATCCAGCACTGTCACAGCAATAGCCAAAATTTGTTACACCAGTTACTGGTGCATGTACACAAGGCTGTGCACAATAAATATAATTCAGTGAAGAAAGATCTGGGCAGCAGAAGAGCTTAACTCCTCCCCTCTGCTTGCCAATTTAAACTATGCCTAATTAAATTGGACTTCTGACTACTGACACTTTTAATGGTGTTAAATTGCAAGACCGTCCTCCCCCCAGACACACTCCACCTCACAAGGCAGACCGATCCCTATTGCTCACACCAGCTCTAACTGACACAGTGCCCTAGACAGCACCTTGCATGAACCAACCGGACAAGGATGCAAGCAAGACAAAGCAGGTGAAGAATTGCCCTTCCCCATAACACTGCTTGGGTCCCCTGCAAGACAAAGGGTTAATTCAAAGCAAACCATGCATGCCCTAAAGAGAAAAGCATTTTAATCTGTACTAGGTTTATAAATAGCATCCAATCACCAGACACCAAGCATTAACCCCCATTCCAATCATGAGATCGGCCTGTTCCCTGCCTGCTGCGGATGCATGCTGGGGAGGCAGGGAGGAGGCTGTATCTATTCAACTAGGTCAGCCTTATTCTGATGGGATTAGGCATGTAATCCAGCCCCTCCCGGGACACATGCAGGGAGGAGGGGCAAAACTGGCACAAACCATCAAGAGGGAGCTCACAGCAGGATGTTTGCTCACACAGTGGATTTGCCTCCCTTCACTGGGCAGGCCCCATCCGCTGGCTGTACAGAGCCAAGCACTTGAGCAGGAACTCCACACAGAAAGCCCCAGGCGCTGGTAGTGAGCACATTCACATACAGAAACAGCTTGAGATGGAAGAGCTGAAGAACACTGATTGCAGCCGACCCAGGCCAGAGCTGGAAGCATCTGCTCTGCCATGCACAGCCCACCAACAGGGTTAATCGGATGCAAACTTGCAGATGTGGTATTTCTGAAACATCAAGCCAGTTTTGCTCCGTACTCACTACAAAAAAATTTCAGCAACAGGAGATGAGAAATAAGTTACACACACACCCCCCAGTTTACATTTAGGTGAATAATCTCCACAGGTGAAGGAGACAAAAACAGCACAGATAACACTAGCTTGCTGTGGGCCTTCACTGTTTGGGGTCTGTGCAGGCAACCTTCCCAAGAACGACAACTGATCCTCTGTCATCCGCACAATCACCGTTTCCCAGGATATTTTCTCACAGGTCTCAGGGAGACCTCATTGTCTTCAAGGTAGTTTTACAGTGCTGCCTACCCAGAACTTGTTTCTGCTACTAGAACTCTTCCCACCTTCCTCTGAGTGTGTTGCATTAGGCCACAGATGCAGCATTTGTATCAGTGTGCACATGATCATTAAGGACGGAGGGTGACCATTAGAAATTGGTACATGCATTGAGAGCTCTTGCTCCCCATCCACCTGAACTGGGAATGTGTACTGTGAACACCTCCTGACATCTTCACTTGTTAGAGGCATAGGCTTACCTTATCCCAGTTTCATCTGTTTTAGGGGTAACAGGTATAAACCCCTTGATCCAGAGAAACTGTTATCATAGGCTATTTAGTCATGAAGCCACAAAACCAAAACTAACTCTCCACATTGACCAGCATATTTAACACAACTACATATGTACATATCCTCATCCTCTGTGACCAACTCCAAGTGCAATTTTCCTTGTTATATTTGATGGAAATACTGCCACTTATACTAGAGAGAAATCTCATGCTTTTAAGAATCACATAGGCCTGCAGACATTTCATATGGGACAAATTCCAGGGGCAATACTTCATTTTCTGGTGAAGTGTCTCAGATAATGCAAAACCAGATCTAAGCCAACTAATCAGTTTATATCAGCATGGAGACAGAATCCTCTGTCTTCCTATTAGTTGCCTGTGACCTGAGAGTCACAGTATAAACTTAGAACAGTCTACTGACAGTTCAAGAAAAGTTAACCAATGACAAGCTGCTGGGCAACCTGTCTCTGCTTGGGCACACTTGGCACACAGCCTTCCTCCTCTTCTTCCTAAGAGCAGCTGCCTCATGCAGCAACAGCTGATGGCAACCCAGGCTGGTCAAAAGCCAGACTAGATCACTTTCTCCCCAATACCAGGGAGGGCAGACAGAACAGAATGGCAAATGAAGAGGGTAGGAAGAAACAGAAGACATAAGGAGCATGAGGAAATGGGGAAGAAGAACAGACAACAAGTAGCAAAGTATTTACTAAACAGAGGAGTCATCCCCTCAGGGAAGGGACAACCAAACAAAACAAGAACATATCAAAAAACCTTTAGTGTTCAAATCGGAGCAGACAAAAGAAAGCATGACGGGTTATACTTACTCCTTCAGTTAGAACTCCAAAGAGAAGGAAAACATACCCTAATATTCCTCCCTGAAAATTTCAACATACATGTCCAATCAAGGTATTTGCGGTAAATTTTCTAAGAAGCCAGGACAAAGTTGTGTGGCTGTTTCAGGAAGTTGCATTAGAAACCTATCATACTGCACATCTTTAAGTACAATTACTGCTGTCTTACCTGATGAACAAATACATCTTCTTTGGTGTCATTTCTGCAAAAAGAAAATGAGAAGTTGTTAAGAGTTTAGACTAAGACTTAAATAGAAACCCCTGACTTCACAAGTGAAACCCTCCTTCCTCCAGCATGTAGTACATCCCCTGGATTCCATACATTCCATGTAAGTTTATGCTACCAAGGCCCTGCTCTGAATTTCCAGGGTCATCTGCTTGACAGCAGAAAGGACTCCCCACCCTTCAGAAGAGTGAGGGAACAGGGGGAGGTTCTCTGTAATCTTCTGGCAATTGTTCAATATTTTGTTTTGACACAGGGCAGAGTTTATGACTGGACTGCTTGCCTTTTGCTATTCCACTCCCCTCTCCCCCCGCCACCAAAAAAAAAAAAAAAACACCACACATTTCCACATGGGATGCAACCTGAGCTGTTATTCCAGAGGTCAAGCAAGACTATCAACAGGACTGGCCACAGCTGTTAACACAGCTCTCCTTTCAGTGAAACTCAAAGCAACCATGCACAAGGGGTGTTATGAGAGTACATTGGAGGGGGACCCAGACATGAACATGAGGTTGTCTGGATTAGGCCAACCAGTTCAGGCTTCTGCATGCAAAATATGAAGGCAGGTCTGAGACCTTGACTCTGTGTCCCCATACATCAGAAAGAGCCTAGACAGCCATCTGATCAATTCCTTCTCTTCAGAGGGAACAGGTGGGTCAAAGTTTGTGAAGATAATGCATAATAGAAAACTTGTGCTGGACTGAAGTAATAGCAGACTTCATTTTAGGAAGAAAGCTAAAAAGCTATTACATGATATCCAGCTGAAGGCTCCAACATCAACTTCTATGAAAGACTTTAAGAGCACTGCCTAATTCAAGCTTTTCTTCTAATCTTACATAACACTGGATAGTAGCCTCCAGAGACTGTACCTGGCTTCAGATCCATGAAATGGGGCTCTTCTACCCCTTTCTAAGTGTCCAACTTAACTGCTGTGTGACAGTTCAAGGACTTCCAGGACGAAATAACTTGCCAAGTACACCTTTTGCATGACAAGTGTTCACCATGCTTTGTTTTTCATAAGGCACAGGACATTTAAGCCAATCAGCACCACAGATACTGCAGTCTTAAAAGCCAGAGTTTCCTCCAGTAACATAGAACTGTGGGCCTTGGGCAGCTAGGTTTGGAGTGTGATCAGTATCACTTACAGCTATTTGTATTATCGATGCAACTCAGAAGTTTGTTAGTGTTCAGAGGAAAAGAAAAAAAAAGCTAGAAAGAATTTCTGTGAACCCAGGCCTGGAATATCTTCAGTTAGATGGTATCAGAGAATCTTAATGTGTATTTAGAGTAGGGATACGACCACTCAGTTAACACTTGAATTTCTATCCAAAAATCTTTCCCTTCATCCTCCAACTTTACTTGCACCTTTAAAAAAACTCAGGTAGTCAGGAAAGAACATACAGTTCATTAAAGGGGTAGTAAAGTAAACATGAGAAAGAAGTAACAGACCAAACTTGTAGTGAGTTTGACCCTTTCTGTTTTCTCCCCATATACACAACCTTTATTGGTTCCCTGAGATGATACCCGAATTTGCTGAATGCCTGGCCAAATTTGCCCATCAACTGCATGAACCTGTAGTCAGGTCCTCGGGTCTCTGCTGAAATCACCAACACATGGTATATTATCTGTACCAGGAGTCTTAGTACAATATGAATGTGACTTTCGTAACTTAAACATACCTGTTGATAAAGCCATATCCATTTCTGACATTGAACCACTTGACTGTGCCAAGAACTTTGGTGGCTGGAAAGAAAAAGAAGTTGCTCTAAAACATAATGGTACAAGAATGTTATAAAAATACTTTCATACCTTCACATGAAGTCACAACCAGGCCTATTCTTCTCCTTTAACACTCAAAGCATACCTTCATCTCCCACTTCAGTGTACACTAATGCAGTAGCAGGAAGCAGTGCTTTCACTTGCTGTTCTTCAGCCAAGGGTCTACCACACAGCATGCAGAATGAACTCCAGCTCTTATTTTCAGAATTGGCCATCTATCCCTTCTTTTTATTTCTTATCCCAGAAATGGGAAGTGAAGCTAAAAATCCCATTGCCATTCATCAGTTCTTTAGCTTAGTAGCTAGACAGGAAACAAGGCTGAAGGAAACTGTTTAGAAATTCCTCTCTTTCACTCAGTTACCCTTCCTTTCTTTCTTGGAAACCAGAACTGGCCAAAAGAAACCATATCAAGCACGATGCAACTCTCAAGTTGAGAGGCAGCACATCCTTACTTTGATCAAGTGCTTTTTTGCATTGTTAACATCCCTCTAACCAAACGAGGCCCCACAGGATTTTTTTTTTTTTTTAATATTCCTACTGGTAGTGATTTACCAGATATAAACTGACCAACTTTATGTTCTGAGACTTCTAGGATCAAGACAAGTTCCTGTCTCAACACCAAAACAGCATCTTCCTTAGAAGCCATACTGCAGTGTCTTATAGGACCTGGCGAAACCTGTTCCTCCAACATATAGGTACGTGTGGGAGGAACTTAACAGCAATGGAAGTAGTGCAACCTCTCCTTCCCTCTCAGCAACTGGGTGGAGGCCTCAAGCTTGTACTTCTCAAACCTGTAGGAAAGGGAGAATTTTGGGCTCTAGACTCTAATACATGTTACTTATTACACAGTATGACCACAACTATCTAAGCAATCTATGTAGTACTTATTTGAAAAGGGTCTAGTCACCTACAGACGACTGCTTGTCAAAAGCCCTACATATGTTTGGGGGGTGGGAGGGACCCAAGAGGCAATTAAAAGAAAAATAGTCTAGAGTCGGTCTCCAGTTCAGAAGTCCAAGCCAGTCTGCTAGAGGCAAGAACACACTGCAAATCATTACCTTCATCTGCTCTACACCTGCATTCTTCCCTAAACATCCACTAGGAGATGACAGAGCTAGACAGACCTTTGGTCTCACATAGTCTTGCCATTCTTATATACCACTCCCACACACAAAAAAAGAACAACCTGTTCCCCCTCCCCTGAACAGGGCTAAAGTAAGAACACTTGCTGATAGCAGTCCATTGTAGTACTGTTGCTATTATTGAGAGTAGTAACAGGTCATTTCTTATTGCACTTATAGAAGTGAAGATTTTGGCCTTCTTTAATACAATTTTTAGCAGCAAATGTTCATACTTAGAAGCAAAACCGTATTAAGACTGAAACGGTTATTATAGAAAAGGGCACCACATTGTACAGCATCCATTCCCAAGACTTATTTACAGAGATAAAAACCCTAAATTTCACTGCTTAGCACTGATTCAGAAACAGTGTGACATCAACATTTATCGTTAGGCTTTTAGGTTTCGTTTCATGGGGGACATCACTAGGTACATGCACTTATTGCTACCACAAAGGCACTGGCTACATGCAAGAGCCTGCTGCATTAAGAGAAGTCAACAAGGAAAGAAGAGGCAGAGGGAAGGCACAGAAACAGGTGCCAATGGCACAGGCAGGTTTTAGCCTGCTTTAAGCAACAAGGCTAATACCATCAATTCCCCCACCATCATCCTTTCCCTCCCCTGCAAAATAGCTATTGAATCTGTTGGCCTATTTCAGTCAGATAAGGAAGAGGGCAAGAAACCTAAGAAGCCTGATGAAAACCTTCAGAGGAGTCAGAAAGCTGGTGGAAGGAGAGGTACTCAAAACTTACTCTAGCTGTTGATAAATGGAAGTACACACACGGCTTCAGAGCAACATTGCTCCTTTTGCACAAGCTGCAAGAGATCAGGGCTTAGTCTCCAATATATTCCCTAAAACAGTATACTGGGGAAATACTAATCTCTACCTGCACTAGTTACAGTTCCCATAAGTATTACTGCGGTGGAGAAGATCATCAGACACAATAGCATGACTCTGAACATCCACGTGGCTGTGGCACAGCCATTGTTAAGCCCGAGCTGTCATAGCGGGGAAATCAGGCAAGTAGAAGGACAAGCCCAGAGGAACCCATAACCAGTTTTACTGACGAGTCAGAGAAGGCAGCTGATGTGATGATGCCCATCCCACTAGCAAGTGAAAGTCCACATACTTCTAGAAGATGCTGTACGCTGATGCTATCAGAGGAAACAGTCATCAGCCACTCCTACCCATGCCAAAATAGCCTTTTCATTAGTTTTAACAAGGAAAGCCAAAGCTTCCTGCGACCAAGAGAGAAGAGAAAGTTGACTAACCTTTATCCTTATTCCTAGAAGTCAACCATTCGGATGCCCTGGGCAAGCATCAGACCTTACTTCTAATGGGATCTTTCTAAGAGGAGACTTAAGTGAACATAATTACAAGACCATTAGTAGGGACACTTGAGGTGGACTTGGACATAAGTCCATTTCAATTAGCAATAGCAATGATCATTTTCCTTACAACTCCTGCTAAAAAGCTTGCCTAACAGTAAGGCCAGTGCACAAAACCATCACCACAGTGGTTTTATTCTTTCCTACTAGAGCAGGAAAGGCACTTGTGCCTTCACTTTCCCCTCCACCACCTCCCCAAGCAATAGGTGAACAAGATAAAAACATGACCAAGAATGAAACAAGCCATGGTAAGGCAAGAAGCAACCAGACATACCAACAGATATGGATGCACCTTGACCAATTACTGACAAATCAGATAACAGAACAGGAAAAAAAAAACCAAGCACAAACTGCTCCTCCAATTTCTGTTTTGCTAAGAATCGTTCCTACCTCAGCTCCAGAGAAATCCTTCACCTGGTTCCTCTATCTGCTGCAGTAAGACCTCAGTCTTTCCTTTCAGAAGGGAAGATGCTGTCTTTCCTTACTGAAGTTCAGGACTCTACAGTAGTGGCCAGCCTCAGCTTTGCCTTACTAACCTCTTAAAGTTATGCAGTTACAAACAGCAGATCCCTAGCTCCACTGCAGATTGAAGACTTGTCCTTTTCAACAGGTTGATCCTGTTTAATCACCATAAAAAAAAAAAAACAAACGCACTAGGCTTGAATACAGAGAGGGCAACTTGGCATTTCGCATGCCTTTTTATCGATAAAAGTATAAACTAAAAAAAAAGGCACTGATTCTAGAGACATTATTAAAGCAGTATTCTCTATAGATAGAAAAGTTGTGTAAAGACCTTAGGATTAAAGGGGGGCACACACGGTTTACCAGTAACCCCTTCCAAGAGGGGATGCCCCAGCAGGGCATAGGGCCGGCGGCAGGTGCCGGGAAGCCCGTCAACATGGCTGCGCTTCCAGTCGCTATCC